AAGTTCTCATTAACGACTGTTACATCCGTGTCCTCATTGATTGAGGCTCAACAGCCAACTTCTTCTCGCCCAACGGAATTCGTAATGCGATCTTGGGGACGAGGCAAGTGGGATTGGAGAACCCTTGCCATACTCGAGTAGACAACAAGGAAGTCGTCACATCTACACATGGAAGTGCGCACTACCTTTGACCCAGATCGCACTGCCACACACTCGATAAGTGTCCCTTCGACTCAGTTCTTGGCTTGGGCTGCTTGGAAGCCCGATGTCTCATAACTAAGTGGGAGAAGTCACTATTCGTGGTAAGTGATGCCAAGTGAAACGAGCGTTATGTCCTCTTGAACGAAACGCACGAGTCCCCCATGACTTTTCTCAATGCTATGAAATTCTGCAATAAGTGGCACAGGCACAAAGAAGGTGCATAGTAGTACATAGCTTTTGTCAAGCCTTCTCATGTGCCTTCTACTTTTGCTGCATATTCTAACTCTACTTCAAAAGATAAGTCTACTTCTACTCCAACTACAAATTTGATCGTTACTTGCTGTAAATTGTGAAATTGATTTTCTCTCCCCCGATGAGGATGATCCTCCACCGCAAGTCCCAGCAAACATTCACCGTCTACTGGATCGATTTCCAGAAATTTTGGTGAAACCTCGTGGATTCCCAAGCGTTCGGTCAAACACAAGAACGACCTCATAGATGGGTGTGTTCCTCTACAGTATAGGACCAGGTGAGTTGGAGGAGCTGACAAAACAGATTGATAAAATGATTGATCCAGCATGGATTAGGCCTGTTCGGTGCACCTGTTCTGCTTGTTCCCACGAAAGGAAGCACGCTTCGGATGTACATCAACTATCGTGGCTTGAACCAGATCGCAAGAACTAACATGTGTCCTTTGACACATAAATAATCTGCTGCTGGATGTTGCAGGTGGGTGCGAATCTCCAAGATCAACCTCAAGTCCGGCTACCACCAGATTGAAGTCGATCCACCTGACCAGCACTAAACTCCATTCGAGACGCACGGCGGGCTGTACGAATTTACCGTTATGCCCTCCGGTCTCACAAATGCACCAGCCATATTTCAGTGCCTCATGGACAAGGTCTTCCGCCATCAGCAAATCTATGGAAGAGCAGATCAAGCACCTTGAGGACGTCTCGCAGATCCTCGAGGAAGAGTTGCACCTCAACTCAAAGAAATCTGAATTTGGGAGCAGCAGCATCATCTATCTTCTGCACCGGTTGTCCACTGTTGGCCTTGAGCCTGATGCAACCAAGGTTGAGGTCATACGGAAGTAGTGGTCTCAACCAACGAATGTACGCAAACTGCATTCCTTTCTCAGTTTGGCCGGAAGTCTGTACCAAAGTTTTCTGTTATTGCTCACCTGCTGTCGAGGCTAACCAGCAAGAATGTGCCCTATGAATGGAGTGACAAGTATGAAACTGCATTTCATGCTTTGAAAGATCTTTGGTGAGTCATCTTGTGCTCCGCATTGCAGATCCCAACCTCACGTTCATGTCAGTATGGGATTGGTATTGCTGCAACAACATGATGGCAATGGCTTGCATCCGATCAAATACTACAGTGAACACATGCCCAGCCACAAGGTAGCTACCTCCACATGAATCTGGTCATTATGACATCAAACTGAAGATGGCATCTGGTCAACACCCCAAAGCCAATGAGTTGGTTGAGGAAATCAACCAGACGGTCAATCAACTTCTTCGTACTCAAATTGTTCCCGATCAGAACATGTTCCCGAAAGAAACACGTGGGACAACGAGTTAGACAAGGTGAAGGGGCCATACAACTCCATTCACTCTGCAACCGGGGCGACACCAAATCAGCTACACTACAGTTGGCAGATGCACAATCCTCTCTCCTTCTTGCTCCCTGATCTGTTGCCTGGTCTGATGCATAGCATGCCTGGGCAGCACCAAGTACACACGCTTGCTCAACGTTGCTATTGCAGCAATCACCAAGTGCCAGCACGCCATGATCAAGTCTGCTAACAAGTCGCGCAGACGGGAATTTTGAAGTAGGAAGTTAAGTTTCGATCGAAATGTTTTAGTTTTCACAGGAAGAGGGAATGTTGCAAAAGCTTCTTCCATTTTTTGCAATCTTCCATTGTACTATGGTCAAGGATGATCAAGTATGCTAACAAGTCGCGCAGACGGGATTTTCGAAGTAGGAAGTTAAGTTTCAATCAAAATGTTTTAGTTTTCAGAGGAAGAGGGAATGTCGCAAAAGCTTCTTCCATTGTACTATGGTCCTTGACAGGTTCTGAAGGTTGTAGGGGATGATGAATTTGGTCCTTTGTATGTGATTCATGTGCCACCTCATCTGTGCACGTATTCGGTCTTTCATGCGTCCAAATTGTTTCCACACATTGCTAACGAGTCTTTTCCTTATCGAGACCCTATGATCCCTCGTGCTATAGATGGTGGTCTTAAAATCGACAGAATTGTTTCACCTGTTGGAAAAGGGAGGAACAGACAGCATAAAAATTAATTCCTATATCACCAGTTGGACGAGTTCTACTAGATTGATAGGAAACTTCTATTACAGAATGCACCTCATTTTGTCAACGCTTACGAACAACAGATAGTCGCCGGACAGACAGCCAAATTCTCTGCAACACTCACTCCTTATGAGGGACGATGGAGAGGGAAGAAGATAGTGGAGAGAGGAGGGGGAGAATGGTAGATGGTTGATGGAACATGACCGAGAGAGGAGGAGGGAGGAAGTGCAAGATGGTGGAGGGATGAGGGAAGAGGTGAATGATTGCGGAGGAAAATGATGATGGCACAGGAGGGAAAGTGAAGCACGTAGACATGAAGCGACAATTCCTTTTCTTAAAGGAGGAAAACATCAACAAGGGCATGCCTAGTTCAAACAGTGATAATAGCACATGCCTGAAGTCGGTGCCACTGGGTTTGCAACTCCAACCTTATTCCTGGGGAGCAACATGTGCTGGGAACCGGGCCCAGCGTCCCTCATGCTGATGCTGTGCTTTCACTTTCCCTCCTATTCAGTTGTTTTGTCACCTCGCGATCATGCGTACCTTGCTTTAGATCTTGACAATGTGTAAGAGATTGGGGGAGAGAGAAGGGGAAGGTATTTTGTTTTGTTGTGCACTTTTCCTTTCTTTTCACTCCGGACTATTCTGTTTTCCTGCAATTTGGGTCAGGGGAGATGCTCGAGAAGAAGAGAGACTGGGAGGCAGACGGGAGAGAACACAGCTGAAATGCTGAAGGAGAACAAATGTATCCTTGTGAGATACATACAGATGCGAATAGGAGGCGAAGCGAGAGCACAGCAGCAAATAGACATGGTGTGACAATTCCTACAGATATCCCAAGGCATGGGTGTACTATTTCTGTGAAGGTGAACACAAGTCAATTTCTGAAACACGCAAGCATATTGTCCTGGTTGTGCGCTGCGGCGTCTGATTTTTCGTCACATGGCAATTGTGGCAGCAAATAGACATGGCATGATAATTCCCACAGGAATCCCAAGGGATGGCTGCACTATTAGTGCGAAGGCGAACACAAGTCAATTTCTGACACGTGCATGCATATTGTTCTCATTGTGTTATGCTGCATTTCATTTTCCGCCACATGGCAACTGTGGCATCGAATGTTTTTTCCTTGTCGAGCGGGTTTGTCCACGCCTGTGTCAGCCATTGATTTTCTGTGGGCCCATAAATGGCTCTGATTGGCGGCCACTCTTAGAAACTCCTGATCTACAGTGGCTGCACACTGCCAGCATGATAGGGTTCGCCAACAACCCGGATGAAAGATTTCTTACACTCACGATTTCTACAGTGCTAGAAACTACCAACATTGCCACATAGCATCTTTGCTGCAGCACAGCCACACACCATATTCTTTCCAGCACAGCCACATAGTAACTTCTACGGTTGTGGGGACCGCCTGCCTTGCCACCTCACACAGTAACTAGAGAGCCACGTAGCAACATTGTCCCGAGGCCATGTTGCACACAAACGTCCATAGCTGGCAAACAAGTGTGTCCTCATAATCACAATGTTGCATAGCAACGAAGCTGCATAGCCACAAAACCGAACAGCATAGGGATGCCTGCATGCATGCTTGACAGCCATGTTGTTAAACTCCTCAGAGCTGCACAGCTGAACAGTCGTACCTGCATGGTGGCATACCTGTATCGCTGCACATTCATAACTGCAGGGTCTCATAGCCACACAGCATGGGCTAACAGCTCCATGCTTGCTTAACAGCCATGCAGGTCATCTCAACTCCGTAGCCGCAAACAGTCATGAACGCGGCTGCATGACTTCACAGCGCAGCTCCATACCATCAGAAATTTTGACTTATTTCTGGACGGAATTGCAGCCAGATGCTTATGCAGGTCTGGCCGTAAATGCAATCAGATACAATTCCGATAGTACAAGTGTGAGTACGCCCTAAGAAGGTGATGTTATCCATTCCAACTCCGTAGCCGCAAACAGTCATGAACACGGCTGCATGACTGCACAGCCCAGCTCCATACCATCAGAAATTTTGACTTATTTCTGGACGGAATTGCGTCCAGATGCATATGCAGGTCTGGCCGTAAATGCAATCAGATAGATACATTTCCGATAATACGAGTGTGAGTACGCCCTAAGAAGGTGATGTTATCCATTCCATGCCACCCTTTCCTTTTTCTTTTTCATATTTGCAGCATGAACAGCTGACGTCTATGAGCATTAGGATTCGGGAGCGGACGGCAGATGGGAGTCCTACCTCATCAGGCAACTGGTCTAGTGACTGAGAGAGAAACTACAAAGTGCATCCCTGACCTAGGTCCACAGGCCAAAGTAGAGGCAAGCATCAAGAACAACTAGTGCTGGTGAGAATGCACTGATGATCCATCCTTGAACATGACTCTTCACTGATTGCATTGTATACAGCTCCCCAAGAGGAATGAATACATAGAGAAGAAGACTGTGCGCCAACAGGCAATGAAAGCAACCATACCTCTGCTGAACGATTGTCTCTTGCACACGAATCTCCTGCAACCAACCATACCACCCAACCACACATCCACACATCCACATGTACAACCACCAAATAGCCATGCATCCATCAGATTTATGCACGGCCCGGCCTGCCAATTAACCGGCTACACCTCATTCAAAAGAGACTCCAAAAGTGACCACCACAATATTTGCCAACAGGCTGAAAACGGTGATCAGGCCTTGTAATAGTGCACCAACTTGCTGGGCTGCCCATACAAGTACAGTCTCCTAAGTGCAAAGTCGCACCAGAGTTTCTGCGGAATGTGTCTGGAAGTACTGATGGAAGCGCTGGTGGTGCTATTCCGAAACCATAACTGCTACACATCAATCACTTGCAACCGCATAACAGCCTCTTACTTAATTGAATCGCCGACAACGCATTCAAGAGAAAGCGAGACAATGCACCAAGCAGAAAAGAGGCAGAGAAAGACACACCGAGACAATACACCAAGCAGAAAAGAGGCAGAGAAAGACGCACACATAGACGTGCCAAGAGACAAATCACCTTGCTGCATTGCTCACCATATCTCCAAAAAATGGTGGGTGTTTCCACATCGTAATGGAGCAAAGGCTCAAGGAGTGGCAAGGATAGAGTTACACATGTCGTGACAAGTCCCTGTGGCTGAGCGGTACACACATGTGACTGTTAACAACAAATCAGAAGAGACAATCAAACCCTGACAGAATCCGATGGATACAGAATGATACAGGTTACCATTTTGGAAAAAAGGGGGGGGGGGGGGGGGAAGAAAAGGAAAAAGGCAAACAAGGAGCTGGATGGATGAGACAATGAAGACACTAACACGTAGTACGAAAGAGAGACAGAGGGATTGGAGAAGACAAATGGAAACAGGAGGGAAGGAGAGTGTAGGGTGAGAGATGGAAGGTCAGGAGGAGAGATAGGAGACACACAGGAAAGACGGGCATCAGACAAACACAGAGAGAGGCAAACACACAGAGAGATGCAGAGCAATAGGGGCCACACTTGGGTGAAGGAGAGGTTTGACCAGACATACTTAGTAACCGCTCACCTGCTCCCTCAAAGCAGCCGCCTGAATCGCTTCTTCCAGAGTCTGACCCTGTTCCTTTGGAATGCTCTCCTTTGACCCGAACGCAGGCTGGCCACCCAAGGATACACCTCCTCCAGGAAGCAAACCTTGCCTTTGCAATGAGCCCATGGTCTGCCCATGAGGTGCAACCTGCCCTTGGGATTGCAGTTGCTGCTGCTGCTGCTGCTGCTGCTGCTGCTGTTGCTGCTGCTGCTGCTGCTGCTGCTGCTCTTGCTGTTGCAGCTGAGAGTTTTGCAGCTGCCCAGGTGTTAGCATCTGAGTTGAACTCTGTAGCTGGCTATGAGATGTCTGTAAAGCCCCTGACAATTGCTGTGACGAGAGCTGGCCAAGCAGCATCGTCGACTGTGTCTGGCCTAAGTGACCACCCATTGGCACCTGTTGAGGAGGCTGATGTTGACCCTGTTGCCCCACCGGTCCCATTTGTGGCATCTGTAGTTGCTGACCTGGTTGCACAAGCTGCCCTCCTGGTGACTGAGGCTGGCCCAGATGCACTGGCTGACCTGTCTGGGTCTGCCCTGGCTGGCCCAGATGCACTGGCTCACCTGCCTGGGTCTGTCCTGGCTGGCCCATTGGCAGTTGCCCGGACTGAGGTATCTGCAGCTGCCCTGGCTGTGCCGTTTGTCCCATCTGTGGTGGCTGGGGCTGGCCTAACTGTCCCATGTGTGGTGGTTGGGGCTGCCCTAACTGTCCCATCTGTGATGGTTGGGGCTGCCCTAACTGTCCCATCTGTGATGGTTGGGGCTGCCCTAACTGTCCCATCTGTGATGGTTGGGGCTGCCTTAATTGTCCCATCTGTGATGGTTGGGGCTGCCCTAACTGTCCCATCTGTGATGGTTGGGGCTGCCCTAACTGTCCCATCTGTGATGGTTGGGGCTGCCCTAACTGTCCCATATGCAGTGCCTGGGACTGCCCTAACTGCCCCACCTGCGGTGCCTGGGGCTGCCCTAACTGACCCATTGGGCCTGGTTGAGACTGCCCCATTTGCAAAGCGTGAGGTTGCCCTGGTTGCTGGCCCATCTGCAGCGGCTGAGTCTGGCCCGGCTGCAGCATAGGTGGGAGCTGCGGCTGTCCAGCTTGCCCAATGGGTGGTGGCTGTGGCTGACCCATTTGCTGTCCCATCATGGGTGGGAGAAGCTGCTGCTGACCAGGCTGCCCCATCGGTGGCTGTGATTGACCCAGTGGATGCAATCCCGATTGACCGAGGGTTGGTTGAGTTTGTGCCACCTGCTGCTGGCCTGGTTGCTCGAGTTGAGCCATCGGTGGCAGTGGCTGTGGCTGCTGCTGCTGCTGCTGCTGCTGAGCTTGTGAGCCAAGCTGTACAGGGCCAGGAGGCACCCCAAAAGTTCCCGAACCGCTCAACATAGATCCCTGAGGTGGAGGTCGAAGGGACTGCTGCATCATGTCCTGTTGACCCATCCCTCCCTGTCCCATTGGAGCTTGTGAGAACCCCATGCTCGCAGAGGGCAGCCCTTGTGAAGTTCCACTGACATTTGGTGGCAGTGGTGTTGCTCCAGCTCCCCCCATTCCCACGTGCTGTTGGGCCCATGGCATCCCCCCTGGAACCCCTCCCTGACCCGGATAGGAACCCATTTGCTGCTGCTGCTGCAGATGTGGGGACAGCTGCTGCTGTGAAAGACTCGGAGGGGCCACCTGTGAAGGTGGCTGCTGCACTTGTGGAGGCGGTTGAGGCTGAGATGGGTGTATTGGTGAAGAGAACGGCTGCGACATGCCTGGTATACCACCCTGTGACGGGTTTGACATATTGCCATTCGGCACGTTGGGTGGAGGCTGGGGAGGAGGAACAGACTGGGGTGCAATCTTAGCCAGCTGCTGTGAATCATCATTCGACTGCAACGGCATACCTCCTGATGACATGTTTTCTTTGTCCCCACCAGTCTTCTCCTCCGGAACAGCCTCCCAGCGCGACTTTCGCCGCTCTCTTGTCGACGAAGGGGGGTTCTGAGATCCCCCCTCACTTTTTGCACCCACTCCTCCACCATGACCGGCTTGATTACCCTTCTGATTATCCTGACTACCTTGATCATCTTGCATCTGCTGTTGTTGGGCAGATGTTGATGGTGGTTGCGGCATCTTGTGCTGAGCTGCCTGCTCCCCCCCCTCAGAAGATGTACTTGACGTCTGACCTGGCACAGTCGGCGGGTGCCATGCCGAGAGATGGGATGGTGACACTGCTTCACTGCCGCCTGAGAAAGCCCCACCTGGCTGACCCTGGAACTGTGAGGGAGTTAATGGACTCTGAGACCCTGCTGGCATCTGCTGCTGACCTGGTTGGCCAGGGTGACCTGCCGGTGGCATTGGTGGCTGCTGACCAGTCTGACCAGATATTAGAGGTGGTAAATTTGTCGGGGGGGCTTGTGCGAATACCGATGTGGGGGGTGACCCCTGCGGAAATCCCCAAGGCGGCCCCGGTAGACCTGGCCCGCCAGTAGCTCCAAATTGACTTTGACCAGGCTGGTGAACCACCAGCGGTTGAGGTAGCAAGGGTGGCTGAACTGGCCCAGATCCCGTCGAAAACACTGATAAAAGAGGCGGCTGAGGATGAAAAGGGGGTTGCTGTTGTTGCTGCTGCTGGGGCGACGTCCTGGACATGTCCTGCTGCTGTGCCGATACAGGCCCCTGTCCCTGGTGCTGTGGAGGTAGAGGCGGCGGCTGTGGCGGCTGAACACCACCAGAAGGTAGCGCCGCCAGAGGCGGAATAGCTGTGGGCGACCCGACTTGCTGCTGCCCCTGCTGTTGCCCCATCATTGGGGGTCGAATATGCGGCTGACCTGATACACTAAATCCCCCCTCACTTGCAGAAGGATGTTTCAGACCCCCTGTGGCCTCATCGTTGTCCATGGGCAGAGCCCGTGGCATATCCTCCATCCCACCTCCCATCAATTGCTGACCAGGCAGGTGTTGCTGCTGCTGCATTGTGGTCTTACCAAACGGAATCTGCGGCTGCCCTGCTGGTGGTGGGGTTGGTGGCGGTTGGGGAAAGGGTGGTGCAGGGGCCCTCACACCTCCCCCTCCACCCATACCCTGCTGCAGCATACCCCCTTCCTGCACATGCATAGGAACAGGAGGCCGCATGTTGGCAGGGAAGCCTGACGGGCCCACGCTGGATCCAGCCGGCTGGAATTGGGAGCCCTGCTGCTGTTGCTGCTGCTGCTGATGTGGGTGAAGCTGTTGATGCCCAAGTGGATGCTGCCCAGGTGGAAGAGGTGGGCCCCGAGGGCTCGGAAGTCCCCCTGGCCCTGGAAAACCACCTTGATGCCCTGGTGACGGCCCTCCTTGCTGTGATCCCATGGGAGGTTGACCTGGACCTGTTTGAGGACCACCTTGCATGACTGGAACTCCACCAAATTGCTGACCCGGCACCCCAAATTGACCTTGCATGCTCGGAACTCCACCAAATTGCTGACCACCCACCATCATATGCCCAGGTAGCCCCTGTTGCCCTCCCATGCCGTGATGTTGTCCCCCGTTCCCGGGCCCCGGCCCTGGCCCTGCTCCTCCCTGCTGCTGCTGCTGCTGTTGCTGCTGATCTGGAGGCATCACTCGTTGGCCTGGACCTTCACCAGCTCCTGACTGCCCTTGAGAAGGACCCAATCCACCTCCACCGCCCATTGGCCCGTGGTGTTGCTGCTGCTGCTGTTGTCCCATCATTCCATGCGCAGGCCCACCACTCATACCAGGCCCATGTTGGCCGTGATGCCCACTCATCCCCCCCCCCTGCTGCTGCTGCTGCCCCATGCCACCACCACCTAACTGCCCATGCTGTTGGCCAGGCATTCCGCCACCAAGACCCCCTTGCTGCCCTTGCACTAAACCCATGGCTGCAGACATATGATGACCCTGAGGACCGCCTAAAGGCCCTGACGGTCCATGCTGACCAGGTAACCCTGCATGTGGTGGCTGCGGCAGCTGCCCCTGCCCCTGTGGTGGAGCAATCATCTGCCCTCGCTGATGCTGGTGCTGCATTGCACGATGATCCATCTCCTGTTGTTGTTGTCCAAACTGCTGCTGTTGACCTAGTTGCTGCTGATGATGAGGCTGGAATGGAGGTCTTCCATGAAAATTGCCCATGTGCTGGTGTTGCTGCGGCTGCTGCTGCGGCTGGATACCAAACTGCTGGTGATGAGGTGCAGCCATGTGCAGCGGCATCCGCGGCCCACCTGCCGGCGGTTGACTCATCGGCGGATGTGGCGGATTCCCGCCAAGATGCTGATGACGAAACCCACCAGGCCCTCCACCTGGAGGCGGAGGAAGAGGAACCCCACCCCCGCCTGGGGCAGGCCCCCCCGGACCAAGGCCACCGCCCATACCAGCACCACCAACGCCTCCACCAGCCCCACCCGGTGCACCACCCTTCATCCCTATAACGGATTGAATTGGATCAGACCAACGAGATCAGCACAAGGAAACGGCAGGGTCCGTGTCAGTTTACAGTGGTTTCGCTCCAAGGCAGATGGTAGTTGATAGCAAGTATTCCGCTCCGAATGGTCTGCAGCCTCTCATGTCATGAGACATGTCCACCTAGTAGAGCTGATGGACAAGAGAAGTCACAGAGATCATCCACGGAGCCCTTTGTCAGCTTCCATACATAAACTTTCCACACAATAATCCAATCTCTCTCTCTCTCTCTCTCTCTCTCTCTCTCTCTCTCTCTCTCTCTCTCTCTCCTCTTTGTGTTCATGTGCTGTCACGTTCGCTACACACAACTCCACAAAAATAGCATGACTGCGCCAGACTTCGGACGGACTTTCAGAGATCCATCAGGAGGTTGTGCATGTGTGTGTGTGCGTGTGCAAGTTGTCATGTTTGCTATAGACGTCAACTAAAAAGTCGTCATGTTCGCTATAATAGTCCACGAAAAAGTTATGACCGAGCCAGACTGTCTTGACAGACTTTCAGCAGCTCATCAGGAAGCTGAACCCCAACCGTCTGCCCAGGATGTACTTGACTGATGGATAAGGACACACCGCATTGCACAGAGTTAGCATACCCCTGTAGCATACCCCTGAGAGAGAGAAGTGGTCCCCACTTTACTCGCACCAACCCTGCAATCCTAGCAGACCGTCGGTCCAAACCCCTGATGAGAACGGCGTTAAAAGTCCAAGAAACAAGTCTGTCAAAGCCATAAAACCCATCCTACAGGCCCATTCAGTGTGTGTACCTGTGCATGCATGCGTGTGTGAGTGATTTCCTGATTCCCTGAGAGACAGAAGTGGTCCCCACTTCACTCACACCAACCCTGCAATCCTAGCAGATGGTCGGTCCAAACCCCTGACGAGAACATCGTTCAAGTCCAAAAAAAGAAACCAGTCTGTCAAAGCCATAAAACCCACTCTGCACACCCATTCAGTGTGTCTGTGCATGCATGCGTGTCTGAATAATTTCCTGATCCCTCCCGCTCGGTCAGCATGTCATCCCACCATCTCTCCCTCTCCAGCGGCTAACCTCCCAGCCTCTGGAGTCACTGGCGTGTGTCACCTTCTCCCTCTTCTTTCTCCCACTCTTTTGTTTCCTTCTTCTAGTTCAGTCTTCCAGTTCAGCTGTTCTGTTGCCTCAGTTTGCCAAAGACCAGGTTCACTTCAGACAGCAAAGTGAAAAGAGAGAAGGAAAGGTGTTTCCAGAGAAGCAAAAGACAGTAAAGGAGAATGGAATCATTCCCCAGCACTTTGACACAATCCAAATCAACATCAAATACATCCACCATTTCATCACTTCATACAGAGTAGGCATCCCTCACTCACATGCACAGACCTGCTTTTTAGCACACACCCACTCGTGCACTCGTAGGCATTCGTCGCTTGCATGTACTCTCTCTCTCTCTCTCTCTCTCTCTCTCTCTCTCTCTCTCTCACACACACACACACACACGAGAGGACTTTCCGAAGCTGTATCCGACTGCAATTACAGTCTGGCATGGATGCATCTGACTGCAATTGCGTCCACAGCTGAGTTGAAAAAGTTATCTCTCTCTCTTTCTCTCTCTCTCTCTCTCTCTCTCTCTCTCTCACACACACACACACACACACGAGAGGACTTTCCGAAGCTGTATCCAACTGCAATTACGGTCAGGCATGGATGAATCTGACTGCAATTGCATCCACAGCTGAGTTGAAAAAGTTCTCTCTCTCTCTCTCTCTCTCTCACACACACACACACACACACACACACACGCACATGAGAGGACTTTCCAAAATTGTATCTGACTGTAATTACGGCCAGGCATGGATGAATCTGACTGCAATTGCGTCCACAGCTGAGTTGAAAAAGTTATGGTGCGTGTATGCCCTTTGTGTGGGGATCCAAATCCTCTCTCAATGATTTCCTTTGGTTTCGCTCGTGCGCCCCTACCGTAACCCTCTTTCACCGAGTACAACGCACCCTCATCATGAATGTGGACATGATTTCAGCCAGATACAGCATATGGGGAACAAGCGTAGCCTTCGGGGGATGCAGAGTGACAATAGCTTGCTTGCGCACCCCTACAGTAGCCCCCTTTCCCCAAATACAACGCACCCTCATCATGAATGTGGACATGTTTTCAGCCAGATACAGCGTGTGGGGAACTCGTGGAGTGACATTACTTCTGTGACGATTCTTTTTACTTTTTATTTTTGACACTATAATTTGTTTCGTTACGTAACTGTCAACGACCTTCTTCCCCCGAACAGAGCTCGATATGAATGTATACAGGCTTTATCACGGCCAGATACAGGCATTATCACGGTCATTCCTCAAGAATGTACACAGGCTTTATCACGGCCATTCACCAACAATGTATACAGACTTCATCACGTCCGGATACAAAAACCTCTCCACCTATACCTTAATCACCCGAGCACAACTCCGTATCTTCGGGAATGTACACATACTCTTATCCTGTCCAAATACAGAAACCTCTTCCTGCTGCCATATTCGCCCAAATACAACACCCTATCATCATGAATGTACACGGCCAGATACAATAACATGTTCACCATACCTTCTTCATCCGCACACAACTCCCTCTATTCATCAACGTATACAGACTCCATCCTGGCCAAATGCATCCCTTACCCGAATAGAACTCCCTCTATTCATCAATGTATACAGACTCCATCCTGTCCAAACAGATTGAACTTTATTCGTCTTTTTTTCTGTCTTTTTTACTTATCGAAATCTAATCGTTTTTTTTCCCGCGCAACAAACTTTTTTTCCTAACTTTTTCCAGTTCACTCGTCCATTTTCTGCTTAAAAGTTTTTTCGTCCATTTTTCGTTTTTCTTTTTGGTTGTCCTTTTTTCTCCTCCTTGTTTCTCCATTTTTCGTTTTCCTCTTTATTTCGTCCATTTTTTGTCCATTTTTCGTTTTTCTTCTTGTTTGTCCTCCTTTTTTTTCCCTCCTTATTTCTCTATTTTTCGTTTTCCTCTTTATTTCGTCCATTTTTCGTTTTCCTCTTTCTTCCAGCTTCGAACGTTTTTCGTCCATTTTCCGTTTTTCTTTTTGGTTGTCCTTTTTTCTCCTCCTTATTTCTCCATTTTTTGTTTTCCTCTTTATTTCGTCCATTTTTCGTTTCCCTTCCAATTTTTTTGGTCCATTTTTCGTTTTTCTTCTTGTTTCTCCTCCCTTTTTTCCCTCCTTATTTCTCTATTTTTCGTTTTCCTCTTTATTTCGTCCATTTTTCGTTTTCCTCTCTCTTCCAACTGCCATTTTTCATTTTCCTCTTTATTTCTCCTCCTTTTTTTTTTCCCCTTGTGATCCTTTTCCGGCTTCGAACTCTTTTCGTCCATTTTTCGTTTTCCTCTTTACTTCTTTTTTTTCCTTTTGGTTTTTCGTCCATTTTGGTTTTCACTTTTCCTTTACTGCCATATTTCGTTTTTCTTTTTGTTTCTCCTCCCTTTTTTTCCCCTTTTGTTGCTTGTCCGGCTTCGAACTGCCATTTTTCGTTTTTCTTTTTCTGTTCCTTTTTTTTTTTTTGCGTTTTTCCTCTTTGGTTTCCCTTGTTCTCCTTTTTTTTTCCGTCTTCATTTTTCTTGTTTTGTTTCTAGGTTCCCGGTTGCCCCTGCATGAGCGGGAAATTCCCGCGCGAAAATATTCGTCCGTTGGGTGGGGAATCCTCCTCCTCCCCCCCCCCCCCCCCCCCCCCCCCCCGGTTTCTTTTACCCGCCAATTCCTCCCACACAGGTTAATCGTCCGGGGAATCCTCCCCCGCCCCCCGGGCACCTATTCATTCGTTAGGCTGGAAATTAATTTCCTCCCCGTGTTCTTTTCGATACACCCAGGAAAAAGGAAAAAAATCCTTTTTCTTCCAAAAAACAGAGCGACGGCCTCGGGATATCATCATTGAGCTCACCAGCCCCAGGTGATTCACAATTACTCTATTATAATCTGTTCATCTGATTGCATTCGGTGATTCAAAATTACTATTATTTATTCATCCGAATTACTCATACACGCATCCTGGACTCGAAGCCCGGTCTGTATTTCAACAGGTTCATTGGGCGGGCTTCTCTCTTTCTTTGTTGGAGAGATATTCGTCGCGCGGGAAATTTTCCCAGGGAACATTCTCGTAGATTGCACGGGAAATTTTGCCAGGGAACATTCTCGTAGATTGCGCGGGAAGTTCGTCGCCACGTATCTTCTTTGGCGGGAACCTTCGCAGATAAATTCCTTCTTTGGCGGGAGATTCCTTCTCCGGCGCGCATAGTCCTTGGTTGCGCGGGAAATTCCTTTCGAGAATTATTCCTTGTTTCCGCGGGAAATTCCTTTCGAGAATCATTCCTTGTTGCGCGGGAAATTGGTTCGGAGAGTTAATTCGTTGCGCGGGAAATTCCTTTCGAGAATTATTCCTTGTTCCGCGGGAAATTCCTTTCGAGAATTATTCTTTGCGCGGGAAATTCCTCAGCACACGCGTTTCCTTTTAAAAAAAAGGAAAAAAAAAGAAGTAATGTCTCGTTACAATTGCAAGTAAAACAAAATTGACGAAAGGACGAGAAATTACTTTTTTTTTTTTTTAATTAAGGCGCCGGTCTTGAGATATCGTCATTGGCCTGACCGGGCCCATTTAATTCAGCAGAATGGTTTATATCGTTCATCTGATCACAGCTGGATTTGAATCAAACTCCGGATCTGTACTTCAACAGTTAATAATTGGGTGTATCAACTGAGCTACGCGGCCGTTTGGCATAATATTGCCAGTATCGTAAAGAATAAAATAATATATACACCATATATTGGATAACATAAAGAATGAAATAGTAGAAGGAAAAAAAAAGTGAAATAAGTTCTGTTAGATACAGCGATAAGTTCTGTTAGATACCAGCCATGTCGGCAGCAGGACTACCGTCTTCACCCTCGGAATAGAACGGCCCGTCATTATAGCAACTGTATTACGGGCAACTTTCAGTCTCCATACAGCGATAATGACCGTAGCTACGGTCGTTTGTGCCCTCCGCCAGCGTTCTGTTAGCGTGAAGACGATGGAACTATGCAAGCTGTTAATGTACAAATACACAAAAATGAAGTCTTCAGGCTGTATTTAGGCCAACTTCCAGT